ATGTATTAACAGGGCAAAATATTTTAAAGGTATTTTCTCATAATTTTGGTTAATTTTTCCATGCAGCTTCATTCATTTCACTCATACATGGGGCTCACAATAAGGCAACCAAATTATATATATTTTTTTGTTATACCATAAATGACATTCACAACAAAATAAAATTTAAAAATTAGGTACCGTTTTCTATTAGTCCACTGTTCAATTCGTCTCTCTTATTTTTAATAATTCTTCTGAACTGATGGTGTTATTTGTCTAATTCTGTTACATAAATCTTCTGGGTCTTGTTTAAAACACTTTATTTTTCAAAGTTCCCCATAAAAAGAAACCAAGAGGCGTCAAGTCTGGAGCTCTTGATGGCCACTGATTTACCAATGATTTACTATTACCGCATCATGCATAGGTGCTCCATGTAGTTGAAGATGGAGGTTCTGTCTTACATAAAGAGAAAGTGCATGTACTATATTTTGCCCCCCCCCATTAATTTTTTGTTTTAAGAGTTATAAAAAAATGTGAAATATAAAAGTTGCACGATTTTTTACGAATTTTTCGAAAATGATAGTTGAAAAACAAATGAAGTTCAAACAAAATGGCCGCGGATGTTAACTTTTTAATTTAAATGGAATACCCTATATATTTTTACTTATTTGGATAGAACGTTCCCTGTCGAGCATCATAAGTACAGGGTTTGATGGGTCCATTTCTAACAATAAGCGAGATACTATTAAAAAAAGAAAAGAAGGTATTTTATTAAGAAAATAAGATATCTTGAAATTGTTAAACGTCTTTCAGGCATTTCTGCCTTTTTTCCAATTACGTAAGAGATTTAGTTGTAATATATTTTGACATATTGACACTGATATGGTCCAAAATGCGTTTATGCATTTTAAATCACTACTTGCGGTGAGAGACCTAATGAGTCATGGACAATATTATATGGTAGGCCGTGATAGTGACAAGTAATGTCATGACAACATTGTTATTGTTTGACAGTTCTTATTATTATTAAATTAAAATGGGTTACACAGAAGCAGAAAATTGAAATATTATAGGAATTAAAACAGAATACAGAAGTTATTCTCCATACTCCATTTTAATTCTAATAGTGTTACAGGAAACTGTCGGTGTTTCGAAATTTCGCTTTATAACCTTATTTGAAAATACACTTTTTAGATACACTGTTAAACCCTTCATTAGCTTTGTTTGAACTTTTTTTTATTACTATAGCAACGCCAGTATAAAGGACGCCATCTTGAAATTTTTCAATTGTCATAACTTCTAAATGCCTTAATTGATTTCAAGAAACGATGGATCATATTAAATTAATAAAATTTATTTTTATGATGTGGGAATAAAAATATTATTTTCCTGCGCAACGGTAGACGATGCTAATCAGAAAAGTTTTGTAATTTTCCCCGTTTACTAAAAAAAATAAATGCAACGACATAGGTTTTTTTCATGGCTTGGTAGACCAAAACAAATACACAAACCGGAGGTCGATATCTTTTTTCTTTTTCAAGTTTTTCGTAAAATAGTGAAGTTGCGCTAAAACATCCTCCTTTATTTAGTTCTCTAAATAACATTGACATAGTCCAAGACAAAATTAAATTGTAAAACTATACCAAAAATGTACTTGCTACATTTTCAAATCTCTTTGATAACTGCAATGTTTAATTTGTTTTATTAATTTCAAATATCTGAGTATTTATAAAGATTATTGTTTCCATAACAAGGCAGGCTATGTCCTACGAAAACAAGACAAATGAAAAATTATGTCAAATGATACGTGATAGCTCTTGCTTCGTGCAAAATTAGTGTAATTTGTGTAAAAAAATACTTGTGTTCCGTATGAAATTACCAGGACTCTTACTAATTCCCTAACACTTATTTGGGGGTTTACATGCCAACACATTAATATTATCTTCCGCTCTTGCACGGCGATGTCTTCTTACAGAATATAGTGGCGTCTGACTAAACGCTGAAATACTTCTTTCGAGTGGCGTATTCTACGAGGGTAACGCAAAGCGTATTATCTTGAAGCTATAACGGCATTTTCCAAACATTTAAAATAAACTGTCAGCATATCATACGCTTCCACATTCGTAAAAGCCATTTTCCTTGTTTACAAGTTCTTTTTCAACACAAATAACACTGATTTTGCACGTAGCAAGGGCTGTCACATTTCATTTGAAGAAATTTTTCAGTAGACTATTTTCATAGGGCATAGCTATAACGAAAATCTCATTCTCGTCGTTATGGAAACAATAATCTTTATAAATACTCAGATATTTGGAATTAATAAAGAAATTACATATTCCAGTTATCAAAAAAAATTTGAAATGTAGCAAGTACTTTTTTAAAGACAAGCTTGGTATAGTTTTACAATTTAAGTTTGGCTATGACTATGTCAATGTTATTTAGAAAACTAAATAAAGGAGGATGTTCTAGCACAACTTCACTATTTTAACAATAACTAATTTCTTTTGGCCATATTTGTTAATAGTCCAGAAGGTATCTGTTTCAAAAAGCCATATTTGGGTGAATCGTATATCCACGGAGATTTTTGGCTTTTTGGCTCCCAAATATCACTAGAAAATTTTTCTATGCACATAAAAAAACGTGGGCTTAACTTTTGGCAGCAAAATTCGAAAAATGTCATATTTTTCTTCCTATTTAATTATGTATCTTTTCAATAGTTGATTTTAGGCGAAAATGGAAGAGGAAAAAAATGTTTGTAATTAAATTTTTTACAAAACATGACTAGTTACAAATCGAATGAATCATGATTATTATGGAAAAAATCGAAAAAATCGCAAAAATGGGGTTAAAAAAAAACAATACTTTTTAGGGAATTTTTTTGGGGTATTTAAATTGGGTATAGAACCTTCATACTTTGCTCAAAAAAACTTCATGTTATGTAGAATTATCACACCAAATTTCATCAAAATCGGTTCGACAGATTTTGCATAATAATTTTGAAAAAAAATTTGCAAATTTTCAAAATTTTGCACAGCAAAAACCAAAGCCCTTAGATACATGGAATTTTAATCACATATATGTAGAAGGGCTCTCAAGCTTTCAAACTTTTTTTTGCAATATTCGAATCCGTCAATTTGCGCTTGTTTAAACATTAGTTGAATTTTTGTACTTATAAACAATTACAATAACTGTTAATTTACAAATAATTTTTTCCGGTGTTGCCAGATTTCTGTAGTAGCTACGATATTTTTTTAAATGGCAACACCGGAAAAAATTATTTGTAAATTTTTCTTAATCAAGTTATTTCCTACAACTTTGCATTGGGAAGTACTAGTCAATTACTTCAAATAAAAAGGTTGGCCTGTCAGGTTTAGAAAAAATAACACTGTATATACAGGTTGTAGAGATTCTCTTCCTAATGGTATATACGTGTATCTATTTTTTTCAAGGTCGTATTTTTCGAATAGGAAATAATATATTGAAATGAAATAAAAATTATTTTTTTAATATTAATTTTTTTTCTGATTAAAGTATAATTCAAATATTATTTATTGTTTAAAATATAAGCAAATGAGAAAATAACTCATTATAATACTAATTTTAGTCATATTTTGAAAATAATTGTTGTTTAAACAATTTCAGAATATTTAAATAAATTTGTTTTTGATCTTTGATAAACAGTATATAAGTTTATGCATTTACCTTTGATACAATAGAAAAATAAAGTTGATAAGTAAAGGAAGTTTAAAGATAAATAATTATCGGACTGTTGAAAGACTAATAATTATTAACGATAGGCATTTGAAAATACGCTACAATTAAAAAAATCATCAAAATCGGACCTCTAGAAGGTGAGACATTAAAAATTTTTAAGCGTATCGCGGTTTTGAACTCGCCGATTTAATTTCGAGCAGGCCGAAGCGGCCGCGCTCTCTGCTTCCCCCACCACCACCACCCGTACGATTTTCTTGAATTTCTTACACATACGTACATTTAGTGTAAATGATGGTTAACTTTTATTGGCTATAACTACGTAACTAATTGATCAATCAATCTGTTTTTTTTTAAAGAAGCGTCTTTCCAAGAACTTTTAAAACATGCTTTAAAAAATGTGATTTAATTGAATATTCACAAAGTTATTCTAATTGTTTATAAGTACAAAAATTCGACCAATGTTTAAACAAGCGCTAGAGCTCTCCTAATTGACGGATTCGAATTTTTCAAAAAAAGTTTGAAAGCTTGAGAGACTTTCTATATGTGATTAAATTTTCAAGTATCTAAGGGCTTTGGTTTTTGCTGTGCAAAATTTTGAAAATTTGCAATTTTTTTTTCAAAATCTGGATTGCAAAATTATTATGCAAAATCTATCGAACCTATTTTGATGAAATTTGGTGTGTTGATTCTACATAACATGAAGTTTTCTTGAGCCAAGTATGAAAGTCATATACCCAATTTAAATACCCCAAAAAAATTCCCTAAAAAGTATTGTTTTTAACCCCATTTTTGCGATTTTTTCGATTTTTGCCATAATAATCATAACTCATTCGATTTGTAACTAGTCATGTTTTATAAAAAATTTAATTACAAACATTTTTTTCCTCTTCCATTTTCGCCTAAAATCAACGTAATTGAAAAGATACTTAATTAAATAGGAAGAAAAATATGACATTTTTCGAATTTTTTAACATATTGTGCCGCTAAAAGTTAAGCCCACGTTTTTTTATGCGCATAGAAAAATTTTCATTTCTAGTGATATTTGAAAGCCAAAAAGCCAAGAATCTCCGTGGATATACGATTCACCCAAACCAAAACAGATACCGCCTAGTCTAATAGATTTTTTACCCCATAATCGTAGCACGTCTAGTTTCATATATACAGCCGCTCCGTACCGTTAATGGAGCACCCTCTATACCATCCATGCATTAAATAAATAAATTAATTAAATCGAACTTAACATTGGAAAACAACTAAAACTAGTATGAATTTTGTCACATCATCTACCATTTACAGAACTGTTTCAGATTAATAATTGGCTCAGGAGTCTTCCAAAACTGTATCCTTCCGCTGTCAGCCTCATTGAGTTAAATGGCACTTACGAAGGACGTACAATTCTGGGTGTAAAAGTGTCATACGGTACTAGTAAAAGGAAAAAGTCTGTATTTGTGGAGTCAAACATTCATGCTCGTGAGTGGTAAGTATATTTATAGTTTGTGTTTGAAGAATGTGGACTGAGTAAAGAAAAGAGATAACGTAGTACAATACTATTTTTCAATCTACGAAGTGTTCGACAACTAATAGAATGATTTGCTGAATTCCGAGAAATTACCCGTCAGTTGGAGCTATAACAAATCGTGGTGAGGAGAATTTTACGTGAAACGTACCTTCAATCTTCATCCATACCGAACAAGCCCTAGCTTGTATAGGAAATATTCTTGGGACGATTAAGGCTGTGTTTACAAGGCAATGAATCTTTTATACTAGAAATAGTAGTCAATACTAAAGATAATTATTTCTTTTCACACTCAAAAAAACAATTTCTTGCTTCAAGAGTGCAACATTTGATTTTAATGTATCGCACGTTTATACAGAGTGTTAGTAGTTTGACTGCCCTAATTTTAACAGACGTTCGAATACATTAAAATAAACAAAAAACCTTATATGACATGGGACATAAACTCAACCAATTCCGATAAAAAAATGATCAAAATCTCCAATTTGATGTACAAAAGTTCGACTAATTAAGGAATATTGACATAACTGCATGCACAGAATACCATAAAATACAATGTTTATCACTTTTTTGAACTTCTTTACGCTTAATTATAAAAAATAATTAGCGTTATAATAAAGTTCGATAAAATTCATATCGAGCAATGTGACAACAGCGCGGCGGGTAACACGGGGTATTATACTAAGCTGTTCAGCAATACGCAATTCAGTTATTCAGTTGGTATCTGGAATTGGACCGTGTCGGACTGTTTTTTGCGTACCACTATTTCCTTTTCTTGAAGCGTTTTCCAGCGAGTACGCGAAAATTGGATTGGATGGTGTCGTGCGTGCATCGAAAATTTGTTCTGTACTTTGTGCGTTTAAAAGTTACTGAATTTTGCTCTTTGGAAAGTACCTAAATTATTTTTAATACGTATTATTATTTGGATAACGTGAATCTTTGGATACTTTAATTACATATTTTTCAAATTCATAATTTGATTAAAAGTTATAAGTTTCTGTTTTAAGAGATGCATAATTACTAAAATTCGAGCTGAAATTTAATCACAACACTATCTTCGTAATCGATACATTTTATTTATTTAAAAACTGTAAAACAATTGTCTTGAAGCTTAATAAATTTTTCACAATAATATTTGTTTACATTTTCTCCGTAGGACATGACTCCGCTGTTGTCACATTGTGATAAAACTCTCCAATATTATTAATATTCGCTGTATTTTGAAAACTGTTAATCTTACTCCCCTGTAATATACAACTTTTTTGTTCATTTATGATTACTCTATCTCATGAAGTAATGGCAGTCAAACTTCTTACACTCTGTATACAGGGTGTCCGGAAAGGTCATGTCAAAAATGAAGGGAGAGGTCAAAATAGAAGTAGTAAGAGAAGGTCCGAATATGGGCCATGCACTTAATATAGGCCCCATAACTATTCCTACTAGAACATCTAGCGACATCACTGAATAATACTTTAAAAGACAGCTACCTAGCTGAGCACTGTTTTACCGACATTGTGCACAGGTGGTGGTGAATGTGTTACTGGAGTTCTGAATATTATCTGAAGGTAAGTTATTATTATGTTTTATACGATTTTTAGTGACTAGGTATGTTTGTATATATTCACCTAGATATTTTGTATAAAGATCAAACTTTGTTTTGTTCAGAAAATATTTTGATTCACTTGAACTCTACAAATAATAGGTATCTATTGTTGAATGACATGCAATGCTGGTAATATGGGCCTTTTATGGGTCCGAATATGGGCCAGGGCCTATATTCTCCCCTGATTTTGAATTCAGTTCTTTTTCCAGATTGACCATGCCACGTAACAAATCAAAGTTTTTACCAAAGAATTTAAGGAAACAATGGAACTCCGAGGACATGATAAAGGCTATGGATAGCGTAAATAACAAAAAAATTACATTTGTGACTTTTGCAAATAATTTCTTTCTTTCTAATTTCTGTTGTTGCCATTACTCCTTTGTATAATCATATATGAAGTTTTTTACTTGAAAATAAAGTTTCCTTTCTTAAACGTAAACTTATGCATCATTTTTGATAGGGGCCCATATTTCATACACTCTACCCTCATACAAGATATTGTTCAATTTTCATATTTTAACTGATATCTCAGTATTTTTTATCTTTCCGGAACTTTGCCGCGCTCATTATTGTAGACGAGTTCTTGGACTAAGTGTGTCCCAATTTTTAAGTGTATATGTCAAAAAATTTGTTAATAATCTATAAAAAACAAAATAGGGGCCCATATTCGGACCTTCTCCTCTACTACATATAATTTTTTTCATATCGGGCTTCGTTGTGGCGTTATTCGCCTTCAAAGAAAAAAATTTAAAAAACAAATTCCAATTATAACTTCGTCGTTACTATGACAGCAATGAAATTTGGGCAATCAAAGTAACTCATGGCAATGTTCATTTCCAAGTTTAAACTGATATTCAATATGCCCAGATTATACAGGAGCAGACGAAATTATCCATTTAAATTTATACATCTTTGACAACGTGAGCTTAGTTTTGTCGAACATATTAACAATATACAACGTGAGGCTTATAAAAATCTCGGCTTTGTTCTAAGAAACTCAAGACAGTTTTTTGAAACTTATACTACTTCGCTGCTGTTCAACGCATTCGTTTTGCCGAAACTGGAATATTTATCACTGGTATGGGGTCCCTCCTATGAAATCCATGTTAAAAAGTTCAATGATATTTCAGCTTTTTTAAATTGTATTTTACTACATTTCTAAAAGCCCCCTATATTTTCAAACTAAAATAAAAATTTTCAGTTTTTGGGACTTTGAGGGTCTATAAAAAAACATGCACGACATAAATTAATGAAATTTTGGGTATTTGAATTTTAAATGGTGCTGAATAGCGCAGTGTTGTCAAATTTCTAATAAAAAAAATCCCTAATACGACTTTCTAAAAACGTAATTATTAAAAAAACATAGCATGACACGAGATAACAGAAATGTATTTGCGACAAATAATTTTATCTAAAACTATCTGCTTATTTGATTTGATTTTTTTTGCGTGCAAGAAAATTCATACGATTTCCGAGCCATGGGTTTCTAGGTACTTTGATCGGGATGTGATTTCGACTGGAAAGTTGGGTGAAAATTTGAAATTCTCTCGGATTCACAATATGATCTTAAGTAAATAATATTGACCAGTTGCGCATTCACTAACGAAAAGTTGCATGATTTTTTATGATTTTTTCGAAAATGATAGTAGAAGATAATACAAACTATCAAACAATAACAATGTTGTCATGACATTACCTGTCACTGTCATGGCCTACCATAACATTGTCCATGAGTAATTAGGCCTCTCACGGCTTAATTAATGAGATTTAGTTAAAATATCTATACGCATTTTGGACCATATCAATGTCCGATCTGTCAAAATATATTATAACTAAATCTGTAAATCCTTACGTAATTGGACAAAGGCAGAAATGCCTGAAAAAGGTTTAACAATTACAAGATGTCTTATTTTCTTAATAAGAAAACCTTCTTTTCGTTTTTTAATAGTATCTCGCTTATTGTTAGAGATGAGCCCAACAAACCCTATTTGACTATGCTCGAGAGGGAACGTTCTATACAAATATGTAAAAATATACAGGATGTTCCATTTAAATTAACAAAGTTAATATCCGCATTTTGTCTGGACTTCATTTGTTTTTCTACTATCATTTTCGAAAAATTTATAAAAACTCGTGCAACTTTTGTATTTCACATTTTTTTATAACTCATAAAACAAAAAAGTTGAAGGGGGGTCAAAATATAGAGAATCACCCTGTACCTACTTCTTATTTTATTGCACATATTTATAAGAACATTTATCAGGGGGCTTAGCATCACCTTTGTTTGCCACATTCACATAGATTAAACGGCACAAGATCTGGGTGGGGTAGAAATTATTATGTACCTAATTCTCTCGAGAATTTTCTTACTTTTTTCTTCTAAAAAAAGAGTATACGCGTTTCAATACAATTTAAAACAAACTGCTTAATGTGTGTCATAATATAATGGCTCTTGAAATATTACTAGGAATTCTTTTTCTCATTAATATTAAATTGAATTTTCTAAAATAACTAAATATATGCAGTCCTATACTTAAACAATATTTTTCAGGATATCGTCTGCAACAACAACTTACATATTAAATCAGTTATTGACAAGTACTAATAGTTCTCTGCGCAAATTAGCAGAAGATCATATCTGGTATTTTTTTCCTGTGTTTAATCCTGATGGCTTCGAGTATTCACACACAACGGTGAGTTAGAGTATTTCATTAAAGGGTATCTTTGAACCACAGGCATCATTGTATCCGGCGAGGAATCAAGTTAAACCTACTAGACTGTATGTTTTTGGGGATTCTCTTTCAGATGGTGGGCACAGAATTTGAAAAAAATCAATGAGACCACGAAAACGAACCAAGTTGAAAAACACAGCAATTTTTTTTTATTTTCAATATCTATGAAGACTGCCAATAAACCAAAATGGCGCTTGAATCGGAATCGGAAAATGTAGCATCAGATTTTTACCACAATTTGAAAATTTTTTGGCCCATTTTTCAAATTTTCGTGTATTAATGGCATATAGGTACATATAATGTGTTCAGGATCATCTCAATTCTTGTGGTTAACAGACGATACGAATTGCAATTTTGAAAAGAAACATTTCTGCGAAAACTAAAAAGTAATAATGTTCTGTTTTTATTAAAACATTATTTACAAATGAATCGAATTTTTACAGTTTCATAAACATTAACATAATACTTAATTGTTATGTTAGATTTTAAATAATGCGACAATAGAACAAAAGGTTTCGAAATTTTATGATCGAACCAATCATTATAGCAACAGTTGTTTTACTGTTGTAATAACTATTTATAGAAGATACTATAGCTTTTATACAGGGTGTCCCATTAATATTGCGAAAAAATTCAGAGGGAGTTTCCTTGACCAAAAATAAGAAAGAAAGTTCCTATAAACCTATGTCCGAAAATGCTTCGTTTCGGAGCTATAGGGTGTTGAAATTTAGAGAAAATACAAGGTTTTTACTAATATCTGGAGAACCCTAATTCCGATTTTTTTGAAATTTGGTATGTTTGTTTATAAAAACGGTAGACGTCTTCTGACGTAATTTGACTTATTTTATCTATTCCAGTGGCGTCTGGGAACTCGCTCCTGTTGATATTAATAAGTAAACATATGAGACGTCACTGCTTTTTCTTAGGTGTCATATGTTTTTCTAATTATGCGATTAAAAATACAATTTTTTTGTTTCTTTACTTTTTTGATGTCTTGCTTCGTTTTCGAGCAAAAAATTAATATCCTTTCATATGCATATTCTTAAGGGAAGTAGAAAACAGAAATAGAAATTCAATGTTTTAGTTATTTACTAATCAACTTTAACAATACATTTGAAGGAAAAACAATGTAACAAGTTGAGAAATAATAACTCACTAAATTATATAAATAAATTAAATTTTTTTAAATAATTAATATTAACAGAAAAATATTTAACAAACAGCAACGATATGAAAAATACTTTACATACACAGGCGTTACAACAGTTGTTGAAAATGTGCACCTTCAACTCTAATACAGGCATCTATCCTACGACACATTGATTGGCGAACCCGTTCAAATATTCCCGCTGTGTGTCTAATTGTTTCACAGGATGCGACAATGCGGTTTCTTAATTCGTCTATGGTTTGCACTGGAGTCGTATAAACCAAATGTTTGAGGTGACCCCAAAGGAAAAAATCCAACGAATTTAAGTCGGGAGACCTCGGGGACCAGGGTTGAGTGCCTCCTCGACCTATCCAGGGGTTTGGGTAAATATTGTTAAAACATTTACGTTCAGCTAAACTGAAATGGGGTGGAGTACCATCGTGCATCAAATATATTTGCAACCTTAATGGCAGTGGGATGTCTTCCAAAAGTACGGGCAATTCATCCTCAAGAAAACGGCGATAAACATCTCCAGTAAGCCTCGGTGGTAAAAAAATGGGCCTATTAAGTGGTCTCCCACAATTCCGACCCATAAATTAAGTGAAAACTGGTGTCGATGACGGCCTTCTAATATTGCATTTGGGTCCTCGCGTAATTAGAAAAACATGTGACACCTAAGAAAAAGCAGTGACGTCTCATATGTTTACTTATTAATATCAACAGGAGCGAGTTCCCAGACGCTGCTGGAATAGATAAAATAAGTCAAATTACGTCAGAAGACGTCTACCGTTTTTATAAACAAACATACTGTTATGTTATGAATAAATTAGAGATTTGAATGTTAAGTTATGGAAACTGATACTAAGAAAAGTATCACATAAATAAAATTTGAAATATAAGATATATTGAAAAATAGTAAACAGCAGTATAGTTACTATCATACAAAAAGTAAATAAGAGATGTATTTCAGTAATTTAGACATCAAATTGTAAATGTAGTATCAAAAGACTCAGGAAAATGCATGACATCCAAATATGAACAGTTCATGTATCCCAAATTTAGTTAAAAGCTAGAATACGTAAAAATAAAATTCCAAAATTACAATTTATTTGTTGTCATAGAAACATCCAATTATCAATTTAACCACTGTTCGGGATTTAGGAGGCCAGTTTGCCATTTTCATCTAACGGTGTCACATCGAAAGTTTTGCTTCTGAAAAACACATGAAAATTGTTTATTTCAACAAAATCAAAAATTGTTCACGTACTTACGTAGTCAACTGGTGGAAGAAACGTCAAAGTTGATTGAACTGTCAGAAAACCGAATGTGACATTTATAGAAATTACATTTGACCGAAAGTATCTAAGTTAAATACAACAAATACCCGAAACATCAACAACAAATTGATAGATAGATTGATAGTGCAACAAGTGAAAATAAAAACAAGTACAGTGTGTGTTCACTGGGAAAGGTTGTGCCAGTAGGATTTCGGCAGCTTCTGTGAGGAGTACGAATTCAACGAGGGACCCCGGCAACATTCCATGGAATGCAGGGCGACTACTTCAAGTTGAGGGATATAATTTTATGTAAGTGTCGACACAGATAAAGCAAATTTGCACTCGTATAAACAAAAGCGCTATATAAATTTCAAAAACAAATTTTTTTCTATTTGAAAATGTCAAATAAAAAAGGTATAAGCATGCATTTATCGTAGAATAAAATTAAGATAAGGGGGGATTTACCATTGTGTAACTTAGCATTAGAAATTACAACAGTAACTGTCATATGTAAAACGAAAATCTGCAAAATTTATGAATAGATGAAAATTTGTGAAAACGATAAATTTTTTATTTATTTTACAAAAATCCTTTAATAAACATAATTCATATTCAAATTTAAAGGCGCTCAACTAAACGTAAACAACATCACAATAAAACATCAATAAAAAATATAATCAATATAACAATAGAACCCACACCCTAAAAATTAATAAAGATTCTCATCATAAATAATTTAACATCACACACAAAAAAAATAAATTAATAATTATAAATATAATAATACCAAATTTCAAAAAAATTGGAATTAGGGTTCTCCAGATATTAGTAAAAACTTTGTGTTTTCTCTAAATTTCAGCGCCCTGTATCTCCGAAACGAAGCATTTTCGGACATAGGTTTATAGGAACTTTCTTTCTTATTTTTGGTCAAGGAAACTCCCCTTGCAATATTAATGGGGCACCCTGTATATTTGATGACTTAAAACAATTTTTTCGTTCTCATTTACTTTAATGCAAAATTTTAGTTAGGTCTTGTAAATCTAGTTATTCAATGAAGGTTTTATATTACATATTTAAATACAGTATGTCCCAAAATGATGGAACAAAATTCGTATTAGTTTCAGTTGAAATTTTAAAAAATCGGTGAAACAGGTCAATTAGTAAATAGAAATGAAATTGTCACTATTCTTCTATATTTTCAATTTTTTTGAGTCATGTTTGACAGACTTATAACATTATTGATATTTTGTTTTAATAGGACGCTCTATATTTTGTAGTACAAAGACGAATTCAGCGATATAAGGTTATACCTACTTTTTTTTGTCATAGTTGTCAAAAAAATGTAAAAATTGTCTTTTATGTCTTACTGACGACTATTTCAAACAATCATAGACTCTGTCGTACTTTAAAAAACCTACCTACTCTTTAATTAATCTTTTTCTACTTACTTTAAAGCTTTTCTATCTCAAAAAAAAACACATCGACAAACACATAAAATTCACCTGGTATAGGTATAACGTGAATGAAGTTTAGTTGCAGTTCATTCATTCTTAAATTATTTTGAAAAATGGTTGCCCGTTTAAGAGAAAAATAGAGAATTTAAATTTTAACTATGATTGAATGCGGAGATAAATCCGTAGTCAACAGAAGGTATGTGACTTATTTCACCATAAGTATCCAGACCAGAGAATTGGTCTAGCTACAATAAGTAAAGTAGGTATCCGACAAGTTTGAAGAAACCGGAAGTATAAAAGATTTAGCTGGATCAGGAATGCGAAGAACGGCAAGCGAAAATGACCGTTAAAATGTGATGTTCGCCGTTACTGAAAATTCTCATTCATTCATTAGTTCTAACTTAGCCAACTTCAACTTGTCGAAGTCCTCAGTTTACAGAACTCCGAAGTCTCAAAAGTGGAATCCTTATAAAGTTAACGACTTACAAGAACTATGGGCAGATGACACAGACAGAAGATTACAGTTTTGTGAGGAAATTAGAAATTTATTTAAAAGACAGCCCATCTTAAAGAATCGCATAATTTTCACTGACGAAGCAACTTTTTGCTTAAACAGTACCATGAATAGGTAAAATACTAGGTTTTGGAGCCCAGAAAATCCGCATTAGATGCAAGTAAAACATATAAAACGGCTGGAAAAAGTGAATATCTGGGCTGGAATAGTAGGAAATCGCATGTTGGGACCTTATTTCTTTGAGGGCAATCTGACATTTATTTGGAGTTTTTGCGTTTCCAGCTGATTCCAGCCCTGGAATTAATTTTTCCTAACTCTAACGAGCACGGTATGCCTGGTTCCAACAAGATGGTGCTCCTCCACATTTTCTCCTTGAATTTACAAATTACCTTAATGAAGTTTTCCCAAATCGATGGATAGGCAGAAGAGGGTCGTTTGAATGGCCACCACGCTCCTCTAACTTAACCCTACTAGATTTTTTTTGACTGACTGACAACCCCACAGACCAGTCACTATCGAAGGACTAAAAAATCGTATCAGAGAAGAAGTTCGAAACATAACACCAAATGTTATTCAAAATATAATTGATAATTTGAACACCACTTTGAATTTTTGCTGTAATAAAATAAAAAGTAGTAATAAATTATTATTTTCATTTAATTCCTCCATTTTTTGACAACTGTGATAAAAAAGTAAATATAACCTTATATCGCTAAAGGACCCCGCACAAACCTTATGGAAAATGGCTTTCGGTCAAAATGGCTGAAATTGAAATATGATATAGCTCTCATCTTCCTGAGCAAAAGTTGTCATGTGCACAAAGCGATGCTCTGTGTAGGTTTAAAGATATAATAGAGCTTTGAAGCTAACGATTTCATAGCAGGGTGCTGAATAGAAGTGCAGGATAGGTGTATGTATATCTCTCTTTCTCCGTATATACATGGTGAGTCAGTTTTTTGTAGACAAACTTTAACAAGAGATAGAACACATGTTTTTAAAAAGAAAAGTTCCTATAAACATATGTCGTAGAATGCTTCGTTTCCGAGATACGGGGTGTTGAATATATTTTTTTTTTCTCGAATATTCATTATCACTTATAAACGAATGCTTAGATTTTTTTCTTGTTTGGGAGATAATGCCTATTAATTAAGGGGCATAAAACAAGCGATACAAATGTTCAAAAACTTGCACAGTGGCGGAGTGGCGGGTGTTCAATTAAGGGGATAAAACAAGCGATAAAAATGTTTAAAAATTTGCGCAGTGGCGGAGTGGAGGGGTTGCTTAACCTCTTTCTTAAACAGAACTTCTACGCCAATGACTATTTCTTAAAAAAACTGTTATTTTCATTATCTACATATATTTTAACAAAAATAATGTCCATTCTTCTGTCTCGAAATTCCTGTGCGTTTCCGAGTTATTTTGGTTTTTAGTGTTTGTTGCGGTACTAAATTAAGTAATTTATTTATTATCAGTTATCGGTTAAATATTTAATTCTTAAACCTACCTAAATATGGTTTGTTAAGGATTCTAAAAAGCCGAAATCTCTTATTCTTTATCTCTTTCCAATGTAGTCAAAATAAATGTTTGTTATATCAAGCCATACTCAAATACAAGACTTTTATAAGTTGAAATCTATTTAGTACACTAATTTTAACAATCCTTATTTATTATGTGCTGTGTAAATACTAATGTACCGCAACTAAATTACAAAAAAAAACATTGAATGAACATTGATGTAAATGTTTATGGAGAAATTTTTTGAATTTATAACAATATTTAATTAACAACTTCTTAAAACTTTTTGGCAACTGAACAATAAATTATTGTATGTATGTAATGTATCAGATTTCAAGTTATAAAAGTCTTGTATTTGAGTATAGCTTGATATAACAAATATTTATTTTGACTACATTGGAAAGAGATAAAGAATAAGAGATTTCGGCTTTTTAAAATCCTTAACAAACCATATTTAGGTAGGTTTAAGAATAAATATTTAACCGATAATTAATAATAAATAAATTACTTAATTTAGTACCGCAACAAACACTAAAAACCAAAATAACTCGGAAACGCACAGGAATTTCGAGACAGAAGAATGGACATTATTTTTGTTAAACTATATGTAGATAATGAAAATAACAGTTTTTTTTTAAATAGTCATTGGCGTAGAAGTTCTGTTTAAGAAAGAGGTTGAGCAACCCCTCCATTCCGCCACTGCGCAAGTTTTTGAACATTTTTATCGCTTGTTTTATCCCCTTAATTAATAGGCATTATCTCCCAAACATGAAAAAAATCTAAGCATTCGTTTATAAGTTATAATGAATATTCGAGGAAAAAAAATTATATTCAACACCCCGTATCTCGGAAACGAAGCCTTCTACGACATATAGGAACTTTTCTTTTTAAAAACATGTGTTCTATCTCCTGTTAAAGTTTGTCTACAAAAAACTGACTCACCCTGTATATACGGAGAAAGGGACATATACATACATATATCCTGCACTTATACGTATTCAGCACCGTGCTATGAAATCGTTAGCTTCAAAGCTTTATATCTTTAAACCTACACATAGGATCGCTTTGGGCCCATGACAACTTTTGCTCAGGAAGGTGAGAGCTATATCATATTTCAATTTCAGCCATTTTGACCGAAAGCCATTTTCCATAAGGTTTGTGCGGGGTCCTATGTCTTTAGAAGGGCTATCTATTTTTATTATAAAATATTGAGCGTCCTAATTAAAAGAAAATGTCAGTAAAATTATAGGTCTGCCAAACATGGCTGAACAAAATTAGAAAATATTGCAGAAAAGTGACAATTTCTATTTATTAATTGACCTGTTTCAGCGACTTTTTTTAAATCTGAATTGGAAAAAAATATTAATTTTGTTCCATCATTTTGGAACACACTGTATATGAGCAAATATCACTTTGTATCTGAAGTTCGCGGACAAGATGAATGATAACAGAAAAGATGAAATTATTTCCGAAACACTATTTAGTTGGTAATTTTCGTTAAAGTTTTACACTTATTAATGTATGTAATGAAATTGTAATGAAATTCTACGAGTATAACAGTAGCATCATAATGTTTTTAGGATCGCATGTGGCGAAAAACTCGTGTTCCACACAATATACTTTGTACTGGTGCCGATCCTAACAGAAACTGGGACAACTTCTGGAATGTGAGCGGTGGTTCAAGCGACAGTCCCTGTTCAGAACTGTATCGTGGACCTAAACCCTTTTCTGAACCTTGCACTAAGACATTATCTGAATTTATTAAAACTGTTGGAAGTGAACTTGTAGCATATATCAGTTTTCATTCGTTTTCACAAGTTCTACTGATACCTTACGGTCACACATTTGAGCATTTGGATAACTATGATCGAATTGTAAGTAAATTAATCTATTTAATTGATTGACTTTATTGCAGAAACGGGCAGCTTCACATATTTCTTAAAAGTGGTAGATTTATATCTGGTGGGGCCCAAATAGCCCTTTCCAAGTGGACTGTATATATATATAAAAAAAAACTAAACTAAACTCACCAAAATGTGACGCAATAGATGTTTCTTTAAGTCGATGGCAAAAGGAAAGGGAAGAAGGGAATGCACTCGACTTCAAAAGGGTTCACTTCACAAAACCAATTGTACACAACAACTATTAACTATTTCCAACGAACCGAAAAATACAACAACCGCTCTGCGCGTTTGAATCGAACTAAGGAAAAAAAATAATAAAAAATAATTAACAAAAATCGGTGGCCGAACACCAGCGGTTCACCAGGATATTTATTCTACATACCAGGTGTATTCATCCCCCCGGCCTTGAATAATTGTTTTAAAAAAATATTAATTTTAACGACAACAAAAAACTGGAAACTATCAAGAGAGAAAAAAATATATACTTAAACCTAAAACGAAATATTAAGCTACTGTTATTGATTAGGCAATGGACAAAGCTTAACTACAGGTCTTTATAAGTGGTATTTTTTGTGCGTACAAGAGCAATTCTAATGATTCCATCTTTACCTGGAAAAACCTCTTCGATGATACCTAAAGGCCATTGAAGAGGAGGTACATTTTCTTGTTGAATTAAAACTAGAGTCCCTCTTGTAACAGGACAAGTGGGTGTGTTCCATTTTTGGCGATTTTGTAAACTAGTCAAATACTCAATGCGCCATCTTTTCCAGAATGATTGCACTAACTGATCGAGAAGTTCCTTTCGAGATAGCAAATTTTTATTAATTTCAGAATAATCATTTGCCGGAAACGAATCCAACGGTGCTAATGTCAGAAAATGTGCGGGTGTAAGTGCCATCGGCTCGGATGGATCGCTACTTAACCAGCATAGCGGTCTTGAGTTTAATAAAGCCTCTATTTGGGTTAAAACGGTTACAAACTCTTCATAAGAAAGAATCTGATTTCCAACAATTTTGTACAAGTGCGTTTTTACTGATTTGATATTACTCTCCCATATTCCGCCGAAATGAGGCGCAGAAGGTGGGTTAAATTTCCATTCAATTTTATGTAAACTTAATTCTGTGCCTATAGTAGTTACATATTCACTAGATTGTAATAAATTGTATATTTGATCAAGCTCAGCTTTTGCTCCAAGAAAGTTTGTACCGCAATCCGAATATACACAAACTACTGGCCCACGGCGAGCTAAAAATCGCTTAAAACATCCAAGAAATGTAGCAGTCGACATATCTGAAGCTAATTCTAAGTGAATTGCTTTTGTTGCCAAACAAACGAACAAACATATATATGCTTTTTGACTTTTAATACCTCTATGCCGCGTCATGGTAATATAAAAAGGACCAGCATAATCCACCCCACAATTTAAAAATGGTTTAGCTTCTGTAACTCTAGGGGTAGGTAAGTTTCCCATTTGCGGAAATGAAGGTTTTGGTTTAAATTTAAAACAATAGTTACATTTTCTAATACGACTACGAATAATATTTCTAGCGGATAGTACCCAATATCGTTGCCTTATAAGCGATAACAACAAATGCGGTCCAGTATGCAAATATAAACGATGAAAATGATCTATGAGAATATTAACTAAATGATCTTTTTTAGGCAGTAATAAAGGGTGTTTTTTCTGATAACTAATTTGTGCATTTTCTAATCTACCTCCAACTTTTATACAAGCGTTCTCGATAAACGGATGCAAGTATTGCAGTGACTTTGAACATGTTTTTTCATTTTGCAATAGTAGAAAATGTATTTTTTGGACAATGCGTATTAATACTATTTCAGCCTTTTCTAAATCTGAAGCGGTAATAATTTTTTTAATTTCTAAAATTCTTACAAATCTAAGAACGTAAACTGTGATCCGACAAAGTTTTAACCAAGAAGACATTCTCAACATGAGATTACGTAATTGATTATCTTCGGCAACTATTACAGGAAAAACATATGAGATTTTTTTCGTTAAGAGTGTTTGTTTCATTTTCTATTATGCGTTTAATTGGCCATTGGTCCGTGTCTAGTTGAAGCCAACAAGGCCCGGAAAACCAACTAGAGTGTGCCAGTAATTGCGCAGGAGTTAATCCACGAGAAAGACAATCGGCGATATTGTTTTTACTATCAACATGAAACCAAATAGCGTTTGGAAGAGATAATTGAATTTTAGACACCCTATTCGCGACAAAAGTTTTCCATCTATGCGGAGAGCTAGCAATCCAGCTCAGAACTACCGTCGAGTCTGAAAACGCATAAATATGTTCTATTTTAATACGAGACGAACATGTATCGATTATAGTTTTTAATAGTTTTGCTAAGAGCACAGCAGCGCAAAGCTCAAGTTTGGGTATAGTATGAGCTTTGACAGGAGCTACTTTGGATTTTGCACATAATAAATTTATTTTAATATCGCCATCTCCTGTTACTATTTTTATAAAAACCATAGCGCCGTACCCAACAGTCGAACTATCTGCAAAGCCTATTAATGTAGCGGACGAATTATTACAAGCTCCTATATAACGCGGTACGTACAATTTTGATAAAAGTGGAAAATCTATATACAAATCTGTATCAATAACTTTAGCAGCTAAAGGATAAGAATGCGCTTCGTCCCTAGCCAGTTGTTTAACTGTTCTTAAAGCTGCAAATGGTGATGATGTTATACCGAATACGACAGTTGTTAATTCATATATAGCTAAATCTTCGTCAGGAGAAAATCTCCATAAAATTCTCTGATATTTGCGGTGCTCGGGACTTATCCAAATATTTCGATACATTTGGCGAATATCTGAAATCATGGCGATTTGGTTGTAGTACTAAAAATATTTTCGCATTCAGCGTCATCTTTGTTAAGAATAGCAGGTGCCGGTATCTCCTCTACTTCCCAAAATCTATGCAAAATTTGTTCTAAAGAGGGTTCAGTTATTGCACAAAATGTTTGCAGATTATCTGATGAAGCAAAAATGGGAACATTGCCCATTACTATATAACCTAAGCTACTTTGAACGGCTATTGGTAAACTAGGTGGTCCGGTTATTTTATTGGAACCTAAAATATGCAAAAACAAATCAACTCCAATAATACCATCAATTTCCGACGGTTTAAAAAACTTATCATCTGCCAATTGCAAGTGTTTTAAATAATCTAGTGACTTAATTGATATGTTTGATGTCGGAAGTTTATCAGTAATTTTATCTATTACTAAAGCGTGTACCTCATATTGAATATTTGAATCGAAGCGTGACTGAAAAACAAAATCTGAACTATCTAAAATCTTTTGAGCTCCCCCTATACCATGAACAGAGGATCGATATTTCTGAACAGGTAATTTAAGTCTTTGGCAACATTTTGTAGTAATAAAATGCGCCTGACTACCACTATCTATAAGAAAACGCGCTAATTTATATTCACCTGAAGTGGATATTATATTAACTACTGCAGTTGAAAGCAATGTTGCATAATTATTTTTTGACAAATTATTAACTGCTGTCGAACAAAAATTTTGAGTTGTTAAATTTTCAGTTGTATGTTCAGTTGACAGAGGTTGACTACTAGAAGCTATGTTATCCTGATTCGGAGTTACCGTTCCAGTAAAGTGCAAAAATGAATGATGTCGCAAATGGCAGGTATTGCAGACATTCGTCGATTTACAATCTGCAATTTTATGCATAGTACTAAGACAGTTTAAACATAATTTTTTATCTTTTACTAAATTATATCTTTCAAAAAAAATAATAAGAAATATTTAACAAAAACCGGTGGCCGAACACCAGCGGTTCGCCAGGACATCTATTCTACATACCGGGCGTATTCAATATCAGAAGAAGAAGAATATATTTCAAATAAATTATATTTATTAAAATTCAAAATTTGTAAACGTGATTTCAAGAAATAGTAATACAAACTCTATGACAAACTTTGACAGATGACAGCTGGATTTTCAAACATTTTTTCTTATCTCGGAAACGGTAAGAGGTACAAAGTAGCTTAAATGGGGGCAAAGTTGCGTAATCAGGGGACCAACATTATGCCTCTAAAAAATCAAGGCTAACATGATTAGTTTTCGAAATATTTGAAAAAACCGAAATTTTGGAAATCCGCTTTTGTTTAATTTCAGCCGCCTTGTTTGAGGTGATATTGAAAAAAGAAGAACACTTTTTCATGGCCTGACCCACATACCCTGAGCACAACGTATCTTGGGCGCAGCAAGATCTACGCTTCCATCACACAGGCCTTTGGCGGGACTCATGAAACCAAGCTTCCACACCCTCATACCTAAGGTGAAACAAGAGAGTGTTAGAGTTTGCAAGGTTAGGTTTGATACTAAGCTCCATTTGCTTCTTTATCCTCTTTGTAACAAACATTGATCTCGCTCCAACCGGAGTATGTGGGCTTGGGAGCTTGGGTGTGAAAGAAAGCTGGTTTGGCTCGCTTATCTGCTGTGTGATGAACAAATCTCGCTGCCACGAGAATTCGGAAGCTTGAGTGTAAAAGCATACTCGTTCCATTTGTCTGTCTGTTGTGCAACTAAAGTGGATCCTACTGCTCCTAGGGTATGAGGGTTTAGGAGCTTGGGTTTGAGGGTTTGCTGTGCCCAAGGTATGTGGGTTTGGGAGCCCAGATTTAGAGACCTTACTGCACTCAGGCTTTGTGGGTTTGGGAACTCGGGTTTAGAGATTTAGCTTCATCCAGGGTATGTGGGTTTGGGAGCTTAAATTTATGAGTTTCGGCCAGTGGCTTCTTTGTTCGAAGTGTGTGTCGCGCTGCTCATGTGTGACGCTCGAAGTGATCGCCACCCTCACCCTTATTAATACCGGCCCTGGTTTTGAAGTTATGGGATTTTAGGGTTATTCAGCTTCGGGGTTTTGAGGTTTCAGATTGAGGCCTTGTCGTGTTTTCAGGTTATGGGGTTTCGGGGTTTTAGGTTAAAAGGGTTTACTATTCAAAAAATGAAGGTTTGTGCCCTATGTGTAAGTTTATTCGCTGCTTATTTTGGGTTTTTGTGTTTTGGGCTCATCCAATTTTGAGGTTATGTATTTTTACGGTTGCGAGTTATCATTTTACGGCTTGTCGAGCTCGGTCGGGATCATAAGGATGTGGGGTTATAAGGTTTAACAGGTTTCAGGGTTGATTTTGCTGAATTCTACCATTTTCAGCTATTTTTGAGGTTAGAAAAAACTCTGACGTGATGGGACCAAATGAATCGCAGATTCGGTTTCAGCGACCCAAAAAACATATAATACGATTGGTTTGGCAGAGGAGACCTTTCGTCGATTTTTTTTTGTAGTCCTGTGTTATTTTTATAGCAACCATCATTTTTATTTATCAGGCTACTTTGATTGAAATATAAAATTATATATTTTAAAATGCTTGTAATTTCTAAACAAAAACGAATCGGACATAAGAAAAAATGGAATTAGCCCAGTTACGATCTGTGAAGTTTGTCATAGAGCTTGTAGATCACTCTGTATTTCAGATATGCCAAATTATTTTGCAGAAAATATCATATATAAATCAGAGAGTACTAGTATGTTGTAACAATTTAATAATTAAATTAAAATGTAATATCAGTTTTCTAGTTCAATACAATTTTGTTTGAAATAAAGTGGGATATGTAAAAAATCATGTTAACACTATTATGTAAACATAGTAACAAAGCAGCAATATACTTACTAAGATCGTAGAGTGGTAATGTTTAATTTTGCTTCACTCAACGTTTGATACTTCCTGAAATACAAATGGCTTAACTGATGTACAATTTATAGTTTCCTATAAATTATGCTATTTGAAATAAAAATGAAATACGAGTGGAAAAAAACAGTAACTTTATTTAGTTCTAATACCTGTTTCAGATTAAAAAATAAGGAATTAATTAATTATATTGTATATTAAACTAAACATCAACAATGACTGTTATACTGTCCAATAATAACAACACATACGGCGCACAAAAAAAACTCGATCGCGAAGATGTCGACTTAGGCAGTGTAACTCATTTTGTTACCAATAAATCGATAAAACACACACTTAGTCAGAATTTGGCTCCTAATATTTAGAGTCCGTCATTTTAATTTATAGAATGTCAGTCACACAAAAAAGTCCAAACCCAAAGATCTGACATATCATTTCCGACATAATTCTACCAGCTGAAAACGATACCGTAGTCAGAATTTATTAGTCGAGTCAAGATAGATTTTGACTTGGCGAAAATTACTGGAAGAGAGAACTTTTTATTTTTCGCTTTGTAAAGTTGTCAGAAACAACATATAAAAAGTTACCAACTGTAGAGCGTACGCTAAATTAGTTGCAAAATTACAGTTTTTGCAAAATATATATAAAAAAATATAATTTAAAAAAAATTAACTGAGCCATTCCAAAGGACAGGAAATTGTACATAAAAAATGTTAATAAAGTTTTTTTCTAAAATGCGAATTAAAGGCTGCAGAATTTTTTTTCTAACGTACGAAAAATGAGACGGGCGTCCCCCAAGTATAGCTCTCGAAGAGCGCGCGGTCCCGAGCGCGCTACACTAAATTAGTCATAACTTTTGATCTAATTGATCAAATCGACCTCACAAAAAATTTAAATGAAAGAAAAGTCATCCGGTTATCAAAATTTTATGTCTTTAAACTTGAGAAAATATAGTGCCTCCCAGAAGTAACGCAAAAAATTCATATTTCATTTTGTGCCCATCTAGTTATTTAAACTATTACCATCACACGTTACAATAAAACATTATTAGAGTTTTAATCCCGTGCTCATATTTCTTTCTAGGTTTATCTTCATTTTTAACATTTGCCAAAACGGAAACGTTTTTGAACATTTACTTAGTGTAATTTTTTAAAGTATAATACTCATCTGGAGTTTTAGTTGTCCATATGCCTTTTTAAGAATGAACTTAATAGAATGTTTTAATTTTGACGCAACAACTTATCGAATTATGTATGACCAGGTGGTGGAGATTAAAACTCTCAAACAAGGCTGAAATGAAACAAACACGGATTTTCAAAATTGGTCCCCTGATTACGCAACTTTGCCCCCATTTAAGCTAATTCGTATTTCGTACCGTTTCCGAGATCCCTGTAGTGAGAAGCGAAATTGTAACAGCCTGTATACAGAGGGTTGTCCGAATTTTATGCAGGAAACTTTGAGAGCTCTTTAAAATAATGTCTGTTTGCTCTACAAACATTGGTCTGGAACAACCCCGTTTTAGAAATATAGGGTGTTGAAGTTGTTAAAATTGATTTTTTATTTATATCTCTTTTGTAAAAAAGGGGTGACCCATGTCCAGTTGTACACCACTGGTTGGACCTTTAAAGCTCATATTTTAGGGAATGTAAGACCTACTATCATACATTATCTGTACCAAATTTTATTGAGATCGGTTATTAGATTCCGGAGATACAAACAAAAAGTCATTTTTTTAACAACTTCAACACCCTGTATCTCTAAAACGGTGCTGTTCCACACCAATGTTTATAAGGCAAACACATATTATTTTAAAGAGATTTAGCTGCTCTCGAAGTTTCCTGCATAAAATTCGGACCACCATGTATATTGGGAGCCAAATTTTGACTAATTGTAAGAGTGTGTTTTATAAATTTGGCATCAAAATGAGTAGCACTACTGTTACTACTACTACATCGCACTCGAGTTTTTTTGTGTGTGCCGTACTGCTTATTAAGAAATAAGCAGGAATTAATTCAATTAAGTTTTATATTTCTTACGTTTTAGTATTACATTGGGCTGAAAGCGGCTGATGCATTATTTGAGCGTTACGGAACATTGTACAAGGTGGGCTTGATTAATGATGTTATGTGTAAGTTATTTTTGCATTAATGTTTTTATTTAATTTCTGCCACACCAAAAAGAACATTAGTAAATAACCCATTGCACCAAAAGAGATTGATTTTGAAAGTTGAGTTTTGCTAAATATTTTAATTTGAATCGCCGTTTTTAAGATTTTTATACAGTGCCTTCATAAACGTCCTATTCCCACGTGACTGCGACTGCTAGGCAACCAAACTTACAAGGGAGTCAGTGATTAACACAAAATTCCCTAAAGGCAGAAAATGAGTCCAGTGGAGTACATATTAAAATTCTTTACATTGAACTTTAATTTCCAAAATATGTTTCTTTTTTCAATAGAAAATTATTTTTTACAATTTTACTTCTCATATTTTGAATTTTTATCCCATTCTATATTAAAAAAGTATTTTTTGTTTGAAAGAGGTTGTCATTTTAAAAATATAGGCTCTTTGTCACAGATAATGAAAATATTGTTAATAAAACTAAAATTTTTTATTGTTTTATTCATTTTTTTTTCAATATTTAATTCTATATACTGATACAAAATTTTATTCTCTTTTGAACGGTTCCCTATACCTATCTCTTCTAGTTTTTAAGTTATCTACTATCTTTTGTGTAATCACCTAAAATCTTGTAATTTCTTGCGAGGATAGCTGTGGAATTTTTAGAAAAACTTCAAAACAAACAACTAAACTGTCACCAGTTATTTATTTACCATTTCCATTTAAAATAAACAAGTTGATGGCGACTTCTGGTATAACCGGAAGTGGTACGTGGACGCCATTATTTTAGTTGAGAAGGGCATCCCCGAAAACCCGGTATCACAAATTTTCAACATTCAAATTGAAGTAGTCTCTGAAATAATTCTAATGGGCCGTCACCGTGAGACACCCTGTATGTATACCCCCTTCGAGAAAATAGCCGTTTATATAACGGAATAATAAAAGACATCAGCAACCAGTGGCGGCCCGTGGGTTTAACCACAGGGGGGCGCGTTTTGAAGAAAGAACGTATATAAGAGGAGGTGCGGGGGGTGAGGGGGGCGGTAGCCCTCCTCTTAGCGCCGCAGTCGGAAAATTTTGAGGAATTTCAAGGTCATTGTGTTTTTCAAGTACATAGGTACACCAAAATGAATACTGTCAGTGTGTAGGTACAGTAGTTGGATACAATACAAGAAGTAAAATTCCAACGTGTGGGGCTGAAGTGGATCAACCACCCCAGCTGGTATATATGTAGATTTAGAGATGAGAAATATTTATAAAAAAATTCTTGAGAATTTTTACAGAGGAGGCACTGCCTCAATTATTTATTATTTACTATTTTAATAACATCAATTTATATTGTTTAATGCACACACCTATTTTTTAAAATTAAAATCCATTCTCCTGCTTTTGTCCGCACTGAACTTCTGTGTCACCTTTTCGTTAAAGTCTGGAATATTTTTAACCATACAGTTCTCAATGGACAACATTCCTAACGCACTTAGACGATCTTCACACATAGTATTTCTCAAAAAAGTTTTAATCAGATTTAGTTTTGAAAAACACCGTTCTGGTTCTGCTGTTGTCACTGGTATCGTCACTAATATTTGTAAAGCTTGAGTAATTTCCTTAAAAACTGGCCTACTTTTGCACTCTTTCTGTACCTGAACTAAATTCAACACTGGCGTTGGACGTCCGTTATTTTTCAATTCGACTTTTTCCTCTAAACTTAAATTACTAATAACAAGTTTTTTTATTTCACGAACCCTCATTTTAAACTTAAACTTATAAAATATAATGTCTTAAAAAGCGCCAAACCAAAAACAAAACACGTATAACTACACTGCAGTGATACGGGATACTGCCACATTGAGTCCCAAAATAAAGCGCACGAGCCTATCGCCGCCTACCCCTCCACGTGCCAATTTGTCCAATCATATGTAAAAATATGCTTTCACGGTGGACTACGATTTCACCGTCCGCGATGGACTGGGGATTGCGCGCGCGGTCAGACATAACTCTTTGGTACGTTCACGGAGTACATCCACTTTATGCAACCAACCTAACATATATGACATATTGAATGCATACTATTTAGATTTTTTATTGATTTAATAAATACATTATTTTAAGTTTACAGTTTGAAAATATCTGGGGGGGGGGCGGAGTCCCAGAGTCCTCCTTCACGAGCCGCCACTGTCAGCAACATAATAGTAGAGGTGCATAATTGTAACAAATAAACAGTTTCAGAAATAAAGGTTAACCACTTTTTGCAGATAAAGCCACTGGAGTTAGTGCTGATTGGGTTAAAGGTGTTTTTAAAACTCCAATAGTGCTCACATATGAACTTCGTGACACGGGAGTGTATGGTTTTCAACTTCCACCGGAATTGATCATACCAACATGTGAAGAAACCCTAGACTCCTTTGTGGTTATTTTTGAAGAATATTACAAGACTATCAAGGCATAACACTTACATGGATTTTAATTTCTCAGTTCTTTGTAACTTCATCTTTAATATAATGTCACTAGAAAGATTCCTTAAAAAATGAAGAAAAATGTATAGGGTATTTCAAATGGAACTAAATTGGGTAGCGATTGTGGTGTCATGGACAATTCTTTTTCCCAATATATACATACTTAAATATTTTTACTGTCATAAAATTGTAGAGGGTGTCTCAAACTCGATAGTATGCTTACAGCAAGGTTACAAAAAATTTAAATAAAATTTGGGACACGTGGTGTTAAATTCACAATCGAAAGTATTATCTTTGGGATTTGACAGAAACGACTAATGACGTCATCAATTATATTTCTTCCAGAAACATACCCAAATTTTTTCCTGTTAAAAAGCTCCCTTTTTTCTAATAAACTTTTATTAGAGAAATTTTTCTGTATTACTTCCCATTTAAAAGTTATAAGCAATATCGTCCTAAATAGTCTCAAAAGAAATACCACCTAAAAATCACATTAGCGGTGGAAGGATCAAGTAGTCGTTGGAAAATAATTGAACGTTTGTTTAAAGTGCATAAATGCTACAAAATACTTGTCATTACTTAATACGATAGTCAAACGTAGGTATAATTTTATTGCTTACAAAATGTTTTCTCATTTAGAAAAAGATGACATGTTGCTAATTTACAAAAAAATTCAAGAAGAGCTTAGAATATCGAGAAAGGAATCCAGACGCCTCATTCCTTTACAAGATTGGAGGCGACCTTGCGACGAAATGAAGATGCATGTTCGGAAAAATCAAATAATTGACAGATGGGTAAGAAAAAATGTTAATACAGCTAGATTGTTACAGTATTTCGAACAATATCCATGAAATTCTATGCGGCAGGCTACCCAGGAATTGAATTTGGATAAATCAGCCGTTCAACGAGAAGTTTTAAAGACCTATGGGTATCATGACTACAAAATTCACAATTTGGAGTAATTGCCTGAGCATCACTTTGAAAACAGATTTAATTTTATAACTCAAATTGTAGTAAATGTAGATAGTGTTGATCAGAACCTTTTTCGGTACGTTCTTTGGACGGACGAGTCAGTTTGTCAGTAATGGTTTGCCAAACAAGCGCAACGAACACCACTGGTCCATTGAAAATCCCCACATTGTAAATCCAGTCCAAAACCAAGACCATTTTGGAGTAAATGTATGGTGCTTCAACATCGGTAGGCATTTAATTGGGCCTTATTTTTATGAACATACATTGATTTACGTAAATTTCCTACAAAAAGAACTTCCTGCACATATGAGTAACTAAATAAGTGTTTATTTCCTTCTTTCATTGGAAGCATCACTTGCTCCAGACGCAACTGGCGCCATCTTACATCCGGCCTGTGAACAAATAGCAGCTGGAACACAAAACAGAAACTGCAGTGTCCGTGCTAGCCGTCTTTGGTTTGAGAATGTAGTTCAAAAACTATGCAATAGATGTCGCTTTATTACGCTGCACTTGGCGGCAAATTTAAATATACCATAATATTCAGAGTGCAACTTATATATGGAATAAAATTCATATTCATTGACTACAAAATATCAGTTCTAATGTAAAAATTGACCAGATTTTTTTACAAAATTATGTAGTCAATGACTTATGAATTTCATGTAAGCTACACACAATAATGGTATAACAGATTGACTTTTTTAGTAGGTATATCCATTAAGAGGTTATTATTGTTTTCACTTTTTCAACAATGACTAAAAAATGCATAAGCAGTTGTTTTTTAAATGCATGTACTTCAATTTATTCTGTTATAAATAGGAAAAGAAGATAATTCCTAGTAATTAATAGTGATTACTGTGATACAAAATAGACATATACTTACCTTTCCCCTCTTTATGAAAAATATTGTTAGATACGTTTGTTTCAAACTATATTGCTTCTCATCAGTACGATGCATGTACTACTGATTATTATTTTCTGCGAAAATTTAAATACTGATCAGTAGAAACGTAGACATATGTATCTACCATTACTTAAAAAGAAACTTAATATTCATTAAAAAATCCAAAAATCCGTTTTTTGTTGTCTACTATTCGACATACAAGTGAAGTTTTGACAAAATGAAGTATTATGTGAAGTACTTACACAACCAGTATTTGAATCTACTTCATCCGGCACCTAGATAATAACAATAACAGTACTAGTACTTGCAGTGGTATTTAGAGATGGCAATTTGGAATAAGTCTATTTTGGTTTTTTAAATGGTGGTTCTGGAAAATCATCTAACATTGATTTTTGGCATTTATTAATTTCGGCATTTTCTAATGTTTCACTAACAAACTGTTTAACTGACTCTAGAGTAGTTTTCAAGTAAACGTTACTATTAAGAGAATCTAAATGTGATGATATACTATTTGATTCAGTAAATATTGTTGGCACTGCATTTTTGTTGAGGTTATTCTTCCTACTATTTCTAAAACATTTTTAATTCAAAGTGGTCTTCGCAAAAATAACATTTTTCGTTGATGAAGTTAAAATCTGGTTTACATTCTATCCAAATCATTTTCCTGTCTGCACTCTGCAGTAACTCTGAAAAAGCTTTTATTTCTGTAAGAAGTATCTGTGGTATATAAATAATATGTATTCTTGCAGTTTGGTGCACAACAGTAATGTGAGATCATTCCAGACATTTTCTATTAAAAAGTAAAACAAGCAAAAGCAGTAAGACAAATCAGATGAACGATTCAACAATTATAATTATCTTCTTGCGTTAAATTAAATTTTAGTCTAAAATAGAAAACAATTATTATCAAAAGTACGGTAACTTACGAGTTAATTAGTCATAATACAACCACTTTCTAATCTGTGAATAATACAACATAGAGAAGAAATAACCTCAAACCTAATCCACAGAACACATCCCCTTTGTGACCTAATTTTCAATACACGTATTCTTTCGTATTGAACAAAGTGATTGAAATCAACAGTAAAGAACCAATCATGATTAAGAATTTTAAAAATGCTGTATTATGATTGACTAGTTACCGATTGCAACCTGTTTGTTCAGCTTCCGCACGAAAGAATACATGTAATATCACCAAATTTTTAATTTTTTCAGCGAACTCTATAGGTTCTAATAACAATATTACTTTTCTGTTCAAGTTAGGATTACAGTTTTCGATACATAAATAGTGCTAACGATAGCGTGTTTTCCAAGCCCATTGTGAGGTGGCGCTCGTACATTCATGATTCTGCTCTTCCTATCCTTTTCATGGGTCTTATTTATTTAGTCATATGTTCCTGCACTTCTGGAGAATGTGCCTTTGCAGCTAAAGAGAAACCTAGAGTTTCAGCACGACGGACTCCACCTGACAAGGCCAGGCTTGTGCAGCAATATTTAGATAACACTTTCCCAGAAAAATCAATTGGGCTTAAGGGACCTATTCAGTGGCCCGGAAAGTCACCAGGTCTGACACCCCTAAATTTTTTTTATGGGAGGTTTTAAAAAATAAGGTTTACAAAACACCTTCGCGAGATATTAATCATTTGAAAGAAAAAATCACAAACGTTTGTAACGAGTTAAACGGCGAAATGTTAATAAACGCAGCCCACAAAGAAGTCAGGCGAAGGGTGGATATGTGTCTTGAAATGAAAGAAGGTCTTATAGAGAATAGATTATAATATGTATGTAGTATGAAAGCGTTTGCCTCATTTTTTATGTTTAGTTATTGTTATCATCACCTTTTGTTTTAACTGTATTAAAGAATTATAGAGTTTAGTCCTTTTATTTATTCTTACTGACAGTTATGCCCTTTGAACAACGAACATTCAATTACTTTCTAACAACTATTTGATCCTTCCACCATTAATGTGATTTTTTTTAGACTCTTTAGAACGATATTGCTTATAACTTTTAAACGGAAAGTAATACAGAAAAGTTTCTATAATAAAAGTTTATTAGAAAAAAGAGAGCTCTTTAACAGGAAAAAAATTTGGGTATGTTTCTAAAAAAATATAATTGATGACATCATTAGTCGTTTCTGTAAAATCCCAAATACTTTCGATTGAAAATGGATAGTCCAAGAGCTAGCTACGTGTGGACTGCACAGATCGACTATAGTCGTGATTTTTTGTTAAATGTTTCTTATCACATTGACAAAGCCAGAGCCCATCAGTCAGAAGTCGCTCTAGAGGCGGAGAGCGTGGTCGGGCGGTTAAATGCAAGAAGTTTTGTCAATAAAAAAATAATCGAATATAGTCATGAAAATTGGTACACTTATAGATTTTAAATGGATAAACATAGAAAAAATATTGTCAGAAGGCTAGGTGGTGGCTTAAGCGCTCTCAGAATCGATGAAGTAGTAAATTGTGAATTGAAAAATAAATCACACTATATAGTTCTGACATTTTGTTTATTGTTAGTTTATAATGCAAATATTCAAAAAAACATTATTTATCACCGCGCGTGCAAATTTTGCCGTGGTTGTTACGCCCGGCATTTTTTATCTTTTATTGTTAATAAATGATTAAGTATAGTTCTAGCATTTTACGTAGCCAATCTTTATATTATATATGTTTGTTATAACGAAACAACAGAAGTTTACTCAGAGGTTAAGCTATGCCAGAGCTACGTAAGTGTAAGTGCAATCGAATAAATTGCTATAATTTTTTTTAATTGGTAATGTTTGTGTTCAGTGGTTTTAAATTGGTTTTTCTACCGAAATACACACAATGCGCTTTACTCTGAATCGCAATCTGATGATTCGTTCTGAGTACCATACCATCATCGCTGCTGTACTCTATATCTGTCATTTTTTTTGTCATTGTAACTGCAATTGAAAACACACACTTTAACACTCGCCATTGGTGGTGGCTTAAAAATTTATTAATAAACGAAAAATCTAATGCACAAGCAGTGAACGCTATTAGAGCTGTGACTGGACCAAAAATCAGAGGCGAGTTGACGTTTGGTTACTATTTTGAAAGCCAGGCCAGAATAACGGTCTGACTACACAGGCTGACAAAAAAAATCCTGTATTTTTGAGACGTGAACCTACCCTTCTTTAGTAATATTTTCCGCTGAATCCGAAAACTCATGAAACAATTCTGACGTATGGGTTCCCGACCACATACCCTTAATTTCCCCAAAAATTAAAAAAAAAAGCTAGTCATCCAACCTCTTTAGTAAAATTTTCCACTGAATCCGAAAATGATAGAAAGAAAAATTTATGGACTTTCCCCCACACACACT